CAGAAAGTTTTAATAGACAATGTGTCATCAACTCTCATGAAGACACTTTATACTCTTGAGACATGTTATTTCATGGTAAAGATATTCATAATGCAATCTGAGGGTTGGGGAACAGCTTTATTGCATTGGCAAGTCTAATCTGACAAACTTTGAAACCCAAATTAGGAGACACTTCAAGACAATACATTGATTTTATAAGATAATGGACAAGAGACCCATATAGAACAATGCTCACCCGAGTAAACATGACCCAGTTCTTTTAAATCAGTAGAGTTTTCGAAATTATTCCTATGTAAAACTTTGATCCCCATTTGTGGGCCCCACACTATCTTTAGAAGTCAATGGCTTGAACAAATTTGCATCAACATTATCTAAGTATACTTCCACATTAATTTGACAAATTATGGCTTTGCTGTTCTTGAGATGATTTTTTCAAGAATTTTCCCTACCTATTCCTACACAAAGCCCCATTGTGTCCCCCACATACCCCATGGGGGTCATATTTTAAACAAGAGGCCTAGGGGCCACACTGCTCAACTGAGCTAAGAAAACGCACAAATCAGATCAGAATTGAAAAGTTTACCGAGGGGGGGGGGGGGGGGGGGGGGGGGGGGGGGGATTCAAATCTTCAATACATGAGGATGCTTAGGCCTTACACGTAAATATGACTTAACATACAGCTTTTCTGTTATTGAGATTTTTCCTTTTATTTTCCTATGTAAAACTTTAATCCACCATTGAGACCCTTCCCTACCATTGTAGGTTATGATATGAACAAATTTAATTCTACACTACCTGAGGATGCTTCCATATAAATATCACTAATCATGGCTTTGCTATTCTTTAGAAAAAAAATTTTTAAAATATATTTTAATGTAATACTTGGATCCCCCATTATGGCCCCACCCTATCCCTGGGGGTTATGATTTGAACAAACTAAAATCTACATTATATGAGGATGCTTCCATAAAAATATCACTAATCATGGCTTTGCAGTACTTGAGAAGAAAATTTTTAAAGATTTTCCTATATATTCCTATGTAAAACTTTGATCAGCCATTGTGTCCCCACCCTTGGGGTCATGATTTGAACAAACTTGAATGTACACTATTTGAGGATGATCTACATGAGTTTCATCTTTCCTATCCCAATGGTTCCTGAGAAGAACATTTTTAAAGATTTTCCTATATATTCCTATTTAAAAATTTGATTGGCCATTGTGGCCCCACCCTTGCCCCAGGGGTCATGATTTGAACAAACTTGAATGTACACTACCTGAGGATGATTCCACATGAGTTTTATCTTTCCTGTCCCAATGGTTCTTGAGAAGAAGATTTTTAAAGATTTTCCCTATATATTCCTATGTAAAACCTGGGGGTCATGATCTGAACAAACTTAAATCTACACTACCTGAGGATGATTCCACATGAGTTTCATTTTGGTTCTTGAGAAGAAGATTTTTTTAAAATGCCATTAATTTTTCACTAATTCATAATTATCTCCCCTTGGAAGAGGATGTGGCCCTTCATTTGAACAGACTTGAATCCCCTTTAACCAAGGATACTTTGTAGCAAGGTTGAAATTGGTCCAGTGGTTCTTAAGAAGATGAAAATGTGAAAAGTTTACGACAACAACGATGCCAACGACAACAATGACTCCAACGACAGACAACGGACAAATTTTCATCAGAAAATCTCACTTGAGCCTTCGGCTCAGGTGAGCTAAAAAACTTGAATCTATACTACCTGAGAATACTTCTATATCAATATGACTAGTCATGGATTTGCTACAGTGTATTCTTGAGAAGAATATTTTTAAAGATTTTTTCCGAATATATTTTCGCTTAAAACTTCAATCCTCCATTGTGCCCCCACCCCACCCCATCCCATCCCACCCCCAATGGTTCTTTAGAAGAAGATTTTAAAACATTTTTTTTAAAGATGCAAACAAAATTTCTTGCATATTAATCTCCCCTTGAAAGAAGTGGCCCATAATTAGACCAATCTTGAATTCCCTAAATACATAAAGATCCTCTGTGGCAAGCTGGATTGAAATTGGTCCAGCAGTTCTGTAGAAGTTGAAAATGTGAAAAGTTTACAAACACTAAAGATTCAGAAAAGCTCACCTAAGCTCTGGTGAGCTAAAAAGCTAATTATCCACAATACTAACCAAGCCTCTTTGCTTTTCTTTAGCAGATGATTTTAAAGACTCTTCTATCTTTTTCTATCTTTATCCATGTTAATCTCTGAACCTATATATGCATGCATGGATGAATGTATACTGAAATGAGATTTTACTCATATATTGTATTAAAGCATCATAATAGCCATAGTTTATTAAAAGGTCAAGTCCACAGACGATCAACACAAAGAATTCCTGAATTTCTATATCAAATTGTGGAACATTCACTGTAAGGCCCTATGTTCCAATAGGAACCAAAAGGAACCATAATGTTGATGATGATGATTTAAACAATGAGCCAACACCGAGTGAACAGCGAGTTGATTTTGAACAAATGCATAACAAATGCTGAATGGATGATGTGAATGTTGAATATGAATGGTTTGGGCTGTGGATATCAGCCTGGGTTGCTCAGTCAGTGGAGCATCTGACTAGTGATGCAGGGGTTCTAGGTTCCATTCCCACTCCATCCATACATTTTTCTCCCTTCCTGTTACAGATTTGGTGCCATTAACAACCCCCTGGACTTGCCAGTGAATTTTCCCACCAAGGACTAAAAAACTTGAGTTGTGTCTCCGAAGGCAAAGACATTTTAAGGAGGGAGGATTTTATGTAATGGTCTGGGCAGTTGACATTGGCCTAGGTAGCTCAGTCAGTAGAGCACCTGACTAGTGTTGCAGAGGGTCCCCAGTTAGATTCCCGGTCCAAACATACATTTTTCTCCTTTCCTGTTATAATAGCAAATGGAAAAGATGGTCAACAAAAATAATTCCATGAATTTCTCCATCAATTGCATTTTGGATGAGTCCCTGAAATGTTCTACTTTTAAACCTGAATGATAAATGCCAAGTGAACAGTGAAAAAATGTTGAATGAACCCTGAGCAAATGCTTAATTGCAAATGGCAAATGAATCACAAACCCTAGAGCAAATTGAACAAACAAGTGAATACAATTTTTGCTACCATGCCCTCTTTTGTAATTATGCAAAAATAAAGTTCTCACGATCAAAGAGTGATTTACAGTAACTTAAATAATCTTTCGTATGTACATGTATGTTTTAAGATTGGCCTTTTAATTATGTAAATTTCATTGACTTTGTAAAAGTATATAATTAAAAAAATTTACAATTTACAAAATGAAATACTGAGAAAGAGTCAGATTCAGGATGGAGAATTCTCTTCCTGATTAAAAATGACTGGCAAACATTCACAGCTACAGTGTAGGAAAGGAACCTTTTTACTCAATCATAGACTTCAACTACAGTTTAAAATCTGATACTATTTCAGATCTGCCAAAACTAAACTAGTTTTTTTTAGCATTATGATTTCTGTGATTTATAATTAAATGCTATTAACATACGAGGGTTGCACTCATACTGCAAATATTTAATCCATATGGTCATCTATAATTCTCTGTCAAAAATCAATAACCAGCAATTAACCCTGCTTAATTTCTAAAAACATATTGAAATAAATTGCATTGCGACAAAGATGCAAGTTATACTGTGACAGGTTAGGGATCAAGTCTCAAGTTGTCTCTCTTCCAACCAATGGATACATGAATTAAGATTGTTAAAAAGATGTCCATAAAAAGAAAGGTAACTCCTGCAAACTTGTATCCAAAGTATTTAAATCAAAGTACTCAGGAGTCGGGCTCATTTACAGGGTAATGAACTATGACCGCAATGACAGTTTAAAAACAAGCCGATTCAGACATTGAGAAAATAATTATATATCTCTATGTCATATATAGCACTGAAAAGTTTTAAAAATTAATTAAAATGTAGCTAGAATTTAAGAGCGAAAAATATTTGTCACATGAATTGTTTCAGGGTTTTATATACCAACAAAAGTATAAATAAACACTGATGCAGCAAGATTATTTAAGGTCAAATGATTATGCATTGATGTGTCCCCAGTGGCGAGTTTTGAATCAAAGCGTACATCAAGTCATTAATGATGTTCTCTTGAATTTTAACCTGGTAGTACAACCTTTATTTATAGAATATGATGCAAACAGGGATACCTGATGAATACCTTTCGCATATTTTAAGCAAATAATTAATCGTCGAAGATGATAAAAAGTATTTTATTATAATTATTTTTGACAATTTCAGATAACTTTGAAAGTCTAATTCAGTGTTTGTATTGCCTCAAAGGTGATTGTGCAAACGTACTATATTCTTACTCGTAAATTTAATTTGGCGGTGATGAAGCAGCATTTCCGGTTGAACACCATCGCAAAAGCCGGGCATTGCTCTAAGAGCAAAGAGCCCGGCTAAAAATCTGGTGCAATTTGGATCATATATGAATAAAGGTTTTGCTTTATTGCAAAATCATTAAAGTTTTAGTTCATCTACTTATCTGGCCAACATTGAATTGAATGATAACAATTTTTACCATTTACCGACACTACGCTCCACTACCTAAAAGTTGTAAATTGCCTTCATATAACATTAATTTCAAACATCTAATTACATGTAGCATACTTTTTAACATTATTTAGTCAGCAATTATAAAATAACATTAAACCAGGCAAAAACACTTCTTACATAATTATTTTACTTTTTGGAAGTGCCATTATGAAATATGAGTAAGGGCTTGACACATAGGTATGAGCCAGAGACTGACCATGAGCTGTTCCTGTGGTGTGGTCAAACTCAGGTCCAGAAACTTACTCTGAGCTGTTCCTGTGGTGTGGTCAAATTGAGGTCCATAGACTTACTCTGAGCTGTTCCTGTGATGTGGTCAAACTCAGGTCCAGAAACTTACTGTGAGCTGTTCCTGTGGTGTGGTCAAACTGAGGTCTATAGACTTACCGTGAGCTGTTCCTGTGGTATGGTCAAACTGAGGTCCAGTTCGGTCAGTTGGTGTGGCATTTTTATGTCTGATCCACTCAAGTTCATCCTTGCCTTGTACATTTCTCCATCCACAGAGACCTTCTTCAAAGTTACAATGTGCCCCTTCTGGCATTCCCTCTGTGATAATAAATAAACAGCAATGAAGAAATACAGTAAAACTTAACTAACCAATTGTTCAAAAGAAACTTGCCATATAAAAGACAGCATTCTGGATTAGACAACATTTTAAACAGTTGAATTTATTGAAAGGGAAAGTTTAAATTTTTATTATAGAAAGTTTTGGAATAAACAACATCCTCAAAACATTTAATAAAATAAATTTACAAAAACTCATTGAATACTGTTTCGGACAACAAATATTGTAAAACAATTAAGTACTGGTAGACTTCATAACATTTCTGTGCTTGACATTAACAATAAATGCTTTAAAACAAAAGTAATATAACATAACAATGTAACTGACGACATCCTTATTTTACTCTGATTTGTCTGATTTGTTCAAAGATGGGACATGATGTGAAATTTGATCCTACTAAGGCAAAAGATTATTTATTTTTTGGTCTATCAGCACTGCTAAAAACAGGACTGACTTTTTTAGCATTAGGAACAATTTTTAAAACTATGACACCAAAGATTTTTCACACTTCTGATATGACCATGTCACAAACAGTATTTTTAATGTCCTCAGTTTCGTTTTTATTTATATAATTTCAAGTTTTAAAGATTTCTGTAATTGTTTAGCTAAAAGGAAAGCTTGAAGGAATCAAGTTTTAATTTTTACAATGAAAACACTTTTTAAAAAAAATGAGTTCTGCCTGACAAGAACATTCATGTGTTAACTTTTCCTTGAATCTGTTTTTTGTCCAATCAAAATACAGGAAATCAATAAACACAATTAAGTCTGGAATTGTTCAACTTTAAGCAGCATAATGTCAGGTAATTTAAAATAACAAAAACTGTCTACTGATCTCAAGGATTTAATTAACAGACAATGCTCATCAGGATCTTTTCTTCAGGGTGCTGACAGAATAACAAGTCACATCAATTTCTTTAGATGATACAAAAAAATTCACTCAACATCTATGGATTGTTAATCATCACAATTATAAGCTTTTGGCACTGGACAAAAAAGAAATACCCCCTTAAGGCAACAAATAAAGGTTCCTAACCCTCTTTAAAGCGTTATGAAGTCTATGTTTGATGCGGTATGATGGAAAGTTTATTTGGGCAAATGATGCGATTTTTATTATCCTGTCTTGAGACTATGGTTTAAGACGTTTATTCTGACCCTTAAACCACAAAAGGGAAGCAGCAATGCAGAATTATCTTGTAGTAATTGAATATAAAATGACTCAATTTCCGCTATATTACCATAACAATACGTGTCTTTTGAGATATCCTTTGGTCCGCTGGTTTTGTCACTGCAGGATGGCTGACTGGTAAAGTAAACAGGTTTAAATTTTTCACCATCTGTAATAGATTTTTTTTTAAAAAGTTATTAAATGCTGGATATGCCCCCATTATAAAACTCTAAGATTGCTTCACTCTGCAACCATTTCTCTATAGAGAAGTGGTCAGGAATTTTTAACATCCACTATGTATGTAGGATACCCCATCTCAGCCTTTCTACATCTCTTAAGAGATAAATGAGACTGGAATTTACCAAGAGGCCCATCGGCCACAATGCTCACCCCAGTAACTTTGGCCATGCTGTTCTTTACAAGACTTTCCACCTTGTAATACCTTTTGTGGCCCCACTCTAACCCTGGGGGTCATGCTTTGAATAATTTAGAATTCACGCTACCCCCGGATTCTTCTACATGTACATAAGTTTCTGCTTTTCTGGCCCAGTGGTTCTTGAGAAAAAGATTTGAAGAGATTTTTTCTTTATATTTCAATGTAAAATTTGGTTTCTCTACCATGGCCTTGCCCTACCCCAGGGGGTCATGAATTGAACAGTTTAGAATCTACGCTACCTTAGGATGCTTCCATATATTAAGTTTCATCTTTATCGGCCCAAGGTTCTTGAGAAGAAGGTTTTTTTAATTTGCCTTTTCTTTATTATCTCCCCTTGAAAGGGGGCTTGGCCCTTCATTTCAACAATTTTAACTACCCTTCACATAAGGATGTCTTGTACAAATTTTGGTAGAAATTGGGTCAGTGGTTCTTGAGAAAAAGATGGATTGACAGATGGACAATGGATAACAGGTGAGCTTTCAGCTCAGAAGGGCTTTTGTGGCCCTGTGCTACCCTCAAGGGTTATGATTTGAATAATTTAGAATCTACACTAACCCAGGGCACTTCCACACAAGTTTCAGCTTTTCTGGACCAGTGGTTCTTGAAAAGAAGATTTTTAAAGATTTTGCCTACATATTTCAATGTAAAACTTGGATTCCCTATTGTGGCCCCACCCTTAACACGGGGGTCATGATTTGTATGATTGTATGATTTAGAATCTACACTACCCTAGGATGCTTCCACATAAGTTTCAGCTTTCTTGGTCCAGTGATTCTAGATAAGAAGATTTTTAAATGACCCACCCTATTTTTGTCCTTTCTTGTTTATCTCTTCTTGCAAGGGGACTTGGTCCTTCATTTTAACAATTTAAACTCTCCTTTACCCTAGAATGCTTTGTATTATGTTTGGCTCAGGTGAGCTAAGATCTAACATTTCCTTATTTGCAAAATATAGGTTAGACTTAGCATCTACAGCAAGTTCGGTAGTGTACATCCCCATCATTCAAGATGTTTGGTCTAAGTAGGGCTTTAGTTACTTGTGAATATTTACATCCACTGAATATTTTCTCCTTTATTTCTTAAGAAACCCCATTGCGTTCATCACTGCATAAACTACAGTAGGCATGTCGCCTGTACAGATTTCTTAAGTGGCTGTCCCATCAATGAAACGTATAAAGACGTTCGCATCATTAATACAATAATTAATCTTTTTAATCCCTTTAATTGATTATTTAAACATATAAATATAAACAATAAAATGTTTGTTTGTTATTACTAAGTAGGCAGCTAACCCGCTTAGTTATGTATTTTTTCTGCACAGCTGCTTCCGTTCATTCCAGTAATAACAAACAAAGAAAGCATTTTATTGTTTAAATAGACCTACCGTAAGAAATTTTTCCTGTTCACAAAAAGTTTGACAGAAAGACAGGAATACCCAGGCCAAAAAACTTAAACAAGCCTACATTTTGATTTACATTTTTCAAATGAATACTTATGGAAAAGTGAGACAGATCAAAAGTAAGCTTATTAATGATTGATGACTTTAGAGTTAGGTGATCAGAAAAGCTCAATTACTTGAATTTTTTGTTCAGGTGAGATTAGAAAAGTTTTTTTTAATTAGAAATATGCAATGCTATTTTAAAATACAATGTACCTGAAGATACCTCTACTTTAATGTTGCCCACTGCCATTAAGGTGTTTCTATTTCCAATATTGCCTGTCACTTGAAACTTAATAGGTAGTAAACTTTCTGTAGGTTCTATCTCTAATGACAATGTCTGCCACCTGAAATAGATAAAAGTAATGTTAATGTCTTTTCCAAATCAATATTACCTTTATATTCTAATTTCCTTTCTTTAGTGATAAGAAAGGGGTAGTTTGATCTTTTACATATTTTCTAATGTTTTCTATAATTATATGAGGTCTCAATCACACCCCTCATCATTGGGTCTGAATCTAATTGCTGTATATCAGCCATTTAAGAGAAAAGTGTGATATTATAGCATATATTCACCATCAGTATCTATAACCTTATACCATAGGCACTTGTTTCGGGAATAAATTTTAACCCATAGTATAATAATAACACAAGGTATCTAACTCCGATTTACACCGATTACCCCCCTCCTTTACAATCACGCTCATTTACACTTTCAGAGGAAATGCACGGGTAAATTGTTTATACCTTTGTCTTCTACGATAATTTATCTACACAACCATATATGGCTTGCTTGTCTTTATTTCTTTTATCTCCTTAATAAGCTTCAAAACTCTGCTCGCCGAGTGGAAAGTGAAATTCAACCATAGAATGATATGTTCTAGTCTCAGGCAAAGAATTAGACCCCGAATTTGATTGGATAAAAATCTGTTTCTAAAATTAGATCGGAAAAACATCGTAGTGTTTTTATGGAAAATAAGACACTATGAAATTTTATTTATTCACTGAAATATTTAAAATCTGGAATTGAATTTTTAAACCCACACATTCTTTAATTTTTCTCTTTGCCTGAGAATAGAACATACCGTTTTATGGTTTAGTTCGACTTTTCTACTCGGCGAGTAGAGTTTTGTCACTGTTTACTGAGATTAAAGAAAACAAAGACAAGCAAGCCATACATGTATACGGTTGTGTAGATAAATTATCGTAGATGACACAGTTTGCCACTGCCTTTTCTCTGAAAGTGTAAATGAGCGCGATTCTAAGGGAGGGGGGTACTCAGTGTAATTTGGAGTTAGCTACCTGTGTTAATATTATTATACTATGGGTCAAAAATTTATTACAGAAACAAATGCCTGTGCCTTAAATATACCACAAATCAAGACACCTGCAAATAAGTAAATATATTAAAAAACTTTCAAGATGCATTACATGAAAGCTAGGATTTAAGTACCGGTAAAAGAAGAAGTCTCAATAAGCCATTATCTGTGGTCCCCGGTTACTCGTCAAATTTTAAACTTTCATTAAAAAGCTTAAAAAGTAAATTATATTATTCTCTTATGTCTGAAGTATATCCTCCAACGTTTAAAAATTTCAATTAATTGCAAAAAACAACAAGCGAACCTGTGTTTCGAAGGTGGGGTCCTTTGATTTTCATGAATATCAAAAGAAATCTTTGACAGGTACCCACTTAACAGCTTTCGTAAACATCGAGCGCAGCTTTGTTCAAAGTCGAGATCAAAATATAATGTATATATTATATTTATAGAGATTGTGTGAAAATATCTTTGTTGAACAACATTGCGCTCTATGTTTTCTACTTAAAAGTATCATGATTTTGAATCTGTTCGGTGAGTACATTTACATAGGATTAACCTCTTGTTGACCTGCTAAGAATAGATAATATGTCACGTGATTCCATTCCGCCACAGGTGAATACCTTTGGAAAGCGTGTTTTCTGTAGGAAGCAACACATGTACATGATGTAGCTCGTATTTGAAAAGTGCAGACACTAGCTTTTGTTTTTTAAAATTAAAAAAGGTTCTCTATAGACTTTGATGAATATCACTTACAGTGTATGTTAAACTGACGATTTTCCGGGACATTTTATTAATTCTCAAGCACGTAATCGCAATATTCCTGTTCATTGCGAACAGCACATGAATTAATATATATACAAGTATAGATGTGTTATAGGATTAAACGTTCTTTTTGAAAAATTTATCGATGTGTAAACTCTTGACATTTTACTCACAAACTAAATAAAAGTGCGAAGCACTTTTATGTTAAGTTTGTGAGTAAAATGTCAAGAGTTTACACATCGATAAATTTTTCAAAAAGAACGTTTAATTCTTATAATTCCAATCTCGAATTTTTTAAAATATTTTAAATTATTTCTCTTTGAGGCCTCCATACAATCCGTTAATCTGGACGGCGTAGGAATACATTTTACCGTAAAGGAACGTAATCGAGACGAATTTCGATAGAGTTCAACTTAAATTGTCAAAACAATCGATAAATAAACTTATAACAACTAATGGAATGCTGTTTAAGTCAACAAATATCGTAATTACGAGTTTACTTCAGAATAGTTCGTCTTTGACCATGGCCATGTTGACATAAACAACAACTCTCATAGCGAAACTTGCAGACAGACGACGCCTTCAATTTGCACTTGTTTATTCAAATATTGAGGAACAATATAGAAAGTTAATAGGAAATTGATGCTAATAGGGCAAGAGCTTGAGGTACGTTTCTTTTCCCTGTCAAAACGATACAGACTGAGCTTATTTTCTGCGTATGAACGTTGAGACAGCGGTTTTTAAAATTCACACTCGTGATCGGACAGTGACATAAACATTTTCACGGCGTCCATCAGTTAGGCAGTCTAGTATGTTGCCAGTTTTGTTTTACTTTAAGCCCTAATTAAATTTAAAGTTCTTGTATTCATTATTTAGCCAGAACAGACCCAGAAATAACTGCTTTCATTGTTTATACGATAACCTAGTAGTGTCATCAAGAAAGTAGTACTGATTGAAAGAATTTATCGATGTGTAAAAATTTTCTGGAACGTGTTCTCGTCCAATCAAAACACAGGAAATCAATAGATAAAATGAAGATTGGAATTATATTTAAATACACATTTAATCAATTTCTTGCAAAAAAGAAACAAAAAAGCAAAAAATACTTAAGACATAATAATTTCTTCGCATTTATTCAGTCTAAACAAATGCACTTGTATACTGACCATTTCAATATTCAAATCAACTTTGCACTATTGTCATATTTTGGGATGCATGCATATAATTATACTAACTCGGAAAAAAACTTTGAATGTATTAATGCAAGGAATAAGGTGATTATTGGGTTTGAATTTCATTTACCAATGAAGATAAATCTTGAGTTCTTCAACCCCCCCCCAAAAAAAACTTTCTTACGCCTTTACGCTGTTACAATATAAATAAACACACATTAATGTTAATGTTTAATTTTTCAAATAAAAAATGAGCAATTTTTTTAACTCCCAATTCTACACCCAGTTCTACTATTCGTTTTCAAGTTCGGAGAAGGATATCCTCTTTTTCTTTTGCTTTATCAAATTCATATTTCTCGAGGTTTTTTCTCAGCCTCCCCCCTTTACAAAAGAATGGGAGTGTATTTCTGTGTGTATTTGCCGTTAATTATTATTCAATCACTTGTGCTTTTTAAACTACCATATAAAAGAAAATTAATATAGTGGTTAAAATATATCTCGACATTTTATTCTACAATGATAGATTAAAAAAAAATTATTGTGATTAGGGGGATTTTCAAAACTTCGACAAAAATACCTAAGAACTAAAAAAAGACTCCCACCAACCCCATGTTAAGAAGAATACGAATGATGCAAAATAAAATCCATGCGTATTGAAGATTATTTATTACTCATCGTACATTGTTTATTATTTCTTATCTCATGCTACAACTCATCGTGTCATCCTTTATATGATACCTAATTTAAATGTCTCCGCCCATTTGTATGTAATAGAGGAACCGTACTCTGTTCGAAAGAAAATGTTCCGGAATTTGTGTGTTCAGTAGGTGTTGAAAATCGGCTTGTATTTCTTGATATTCCAAGTTATTAATAATGAATGTACAAAATATTAATTAGAAATACTTTGTTATACACAATAAAACTAAAAATAATACCGTATCCTCATGTATATTCTGTAAAATAAGGGCAAAAAAGGGACCACGCTACTATACTTAAGTGGAAAACTCCTTTAGGACACTCTTCTCATGTTAGCTCATGATTGCAGTGTTGTGATACATATTTTGTGCATTTTATGACACATGTTTCAGCAGTTCAAGAGAATTAAGTTATTTCAGAATGTGCACCAAGTTATAATAGTAGCCTAACTAAAAAGCCTTATTCTAGCCACACAAGTTACTTGGGTGACTCAAAATCTCACAAAGTAGTCATTTACCAAAGCAGACAGAACTTCATTAGGCTTCAACTTGTGACTAACTAGCTTGGTCTGCAGTTCTCCTAAGCACTTTTCCAATTGTCTTGTACACACTGATGATTGTACTGATGGGAACTGGGGGAGATCAAGGGGTTTGTTTGAAAAACTTGGTCTATTACAATTGACAAAGAGACTATCTGCCAAGGATAAGCACATAAATGAAAAAGACATGCTCATAATACAAGATTGCACACACCTCTATGGACAGTTGGTAACATTAGTGTGTTAGTGATAATTCAGACACTTAGGCAAGCGTGAATAAAATTTCATTCTCCTGTTTACGTCAGTCAAAGGTGTGGACACATTGTAAACTAATACTCTGTAAGGGTATCATTTTTTCAGCTGTTGGGATTTAGATTATAGGCTTATTGATAATTTTTAAATCAGTTTCCTCTAGTTTTTACTGCTTTCACTAGAAAAAGGATAGATGTATCTTTTGATTGTGACGTAATTTTTTAAAATTATCCAACCTGAGCGTTTTATTTACAGGAATAACTCTGACAATGGTCTCTTTTCTGCGGACCCAGTAACTTATGGTCAGGTTGTCTTCATTGCTCTCTTCACGGTACAGCAGAACATCTAGGTGAAGTTGATATATTGATGGTGGTGCTGACTGGTGGCTATAGTAACAGGAACTAACTACGGCTGATGAAGTTTTACCATGAGTACCATCTAACAGCAGAAATGTCCCTGATAAAAAATCAAAAAGAAAATGGTTCGAAAATAAGATTTTTCCTTTTAAAATTCAAACAGCATGAATTACTTGAGTTGAAGGTACTCATTATGTGTATGATCTCCGCTGATTCTTAATATTTTTTTAATAATTGAAGTGGAAATTCAATAGCAACATCTCACTATTAATTAAAATGCTGGGGGTTTTTTTTCAGTGAGATATTGTGAAGTTAATGATTTTTTAATTGTGTACTGGAGAAAAGTTTGTATAAAAAATGAAGGAAAACAGCATTAATATCACACATCAAACATTCCACTCTGGGTCCATTTGAACATGGCATGGATATATTTTAAGAAAGAGCCAAGATTACGAGCACAATCAATAACTATGACAGTATGTCCACTCAAGGATGTACAGCACATCCTACCAAAAATTTTCTCGATTTTTGCTATTTTTGCATATTTGATACAAATACTTGAGATGCATGATAGTCAAACAACATATGCCATTTCTGAAATTGAGAAAAAAAATTTCCCTATAACTACCAACCCAAACACAGAAAGACTATGCCGGCAATGCCAAACTCACAATATTTTAATTGTGGCCTTGTTTACCAAAATTTTAAAATGTTAAGATCTTTGAAAAAATTGTAAATCTCCCAATTTCCTTTTTCGGCATTTAACAAAAAGGTGACAGCCAGCAGATAGCGATGCTCATAATAGGAATACCATTTCTGATCATCCATTAAAAATTTAAATCCCACTGCTTAAAAAATTTTAAATGAGATTTGCATAACAAATTACTTGATCATAATAGGATTAAGCACTCTGAACAAGAATTAGAATTTTGAAAGTATTGCCCTAAAAATTTAATAAGCTTTGCATAGCAAATTACTTGATCATAATAGAGCTATCCATTCAAAATCGATCAATGCTCAAAAAAATTAATAAGCTTTGCATGAGAATTTTCTACATTAAGAATTTTTTAATATCTCAGTATGTTTGATATAAAATTGCACTGCGTGTATGAGGAGTTAAACTTGTTCAAAGGAACATGTGATTCTTTTTTTTGTTGTTGTAAACAATTTTCATTTTTTTAAAAAAAGTCATCTTTCATCTTCACTAAATATATAAAAATACATTTTTAATTGTTAGGTTATCAAAACATCTCGTAATTGTCCCCCACTTTAGCGAAAGCTAGGGGCATTAAATCTCATTCATCTGTATGTCTGTCTGTCAGTCTGTCCATCCATCACAAAAACTTGAACCTTGGTCATGTCTTTTGAATGAGCAGAGATTAAATCTCATTCATCTGTATGTCTGTCTGTCAGTCTGTCAATCCTTCACAAAAACTTGAACCTTGGTCATGTCTTTTGAATGAGCAGATATAGGGCTTTCATATTACACATGTATATTATCTGGGACAATCAAGACCTTAAATACACTATGATTTTGACCTTGAGACTCTGACCTTGAGGTTTGACCTACTGTTATTAAATTTTAAACATTACTTTCAATTGGCCATAACTTTTGAATGAGAAGAAATAGGGCTTTCATATTAAACATGTGTATTACCTGTGACAAGACCTTTTTAAATTATACAATATGATTTTTGACCTTGTGACCTTGAAGATTAACCTACTTTGCAAAAACTTTAACTTTGGTCATATCTTTTGAATGAGAGTAGATAGGGTTTTCATATTATACATGTATATTACCTGTGACTGACTGTGACAAGACCTTTCTAAATATACTATAATTTTTCATCTTGATACAATGACTTTGAAGTTTGACCTAATTTTCAAAAATGTTAATTTTTCCTCATACCTTTTGATTGAGAAGACATTTATAGGGCTTTCATATTTGACAAGTGCATTACCTGTGAGATATTTCCGAGCATGCTGATTTCTGACCCCTTGACCTTGACCTCCAAGATTGACCTATTTTTTTTAATTAAAAATCAACTTCACCAATAACTTCTAAATGACATATGATAGGGTGTTCATATCAGACACAGTATGTCACAAAAAAAATGATATCTCACCCACAAAGACACAGAAAGTGGGGGACCACAATTCTATGAATTTGCATGTTTTTATTCAAGGAGTGTAGGGTGTTTCAGCAAAAACATGAGTCGATATAATAAACTTAATTTAGCTACAGAAATGTACTCTAAATTGTGATGTTTGCGTTATTTTCGTCTTAATTAGCAGTGTGCAAAATGAAATTATAGTAAATGTGTATGTATATACTGTAGAATTTATCAATTTAACAAAGAAAACTGCACTCCCATAACGATTGCACCCTTTGAATTATCATTATAAAAGTTAATAATTAATGTTTGTATTGCATTTTCTGTAACAATTTAATATATATATGATAATGAAAATACAGAACTTCACAAGTATATATAGATCCTACAAAAAAACAAAGCTGAATTCAAATATATGTAATTGAATTTGTTGTAGACATTTGTTGTCAGAATAAATATTTAACATCCTTTCTCATACCATTGCATACAACCACTTCTTATTTCCTAATTTCCGAAAAATATCCCATTAGTGTGATTGAGTCTGTCTGTAAAAAGATATGAGCAGGCATAATTCATAAACCCTCAGCAACAGTACTCTCTCTTCTTATGCCAACACAGTTCATCAATATTTTGGGAACCAACAGTCCAAATACTTTGCACTTTATGGTGGTAATTGAATGCTGAATTGGTGGGATGGAAAAAGAATCTAAATATTGGTTTAAATAATGTGTTTATGGAAAGGCAAATTGATTTTCCTGTAATGATGGAAAATATTTCTGGAGACCTGTTCTCAAGTGCAGCTTTATTTACAGACAAACCTAGACAAACTAGTTACAACATTAGGCATCTGTTCGCTGGTATTTTCTGCCAAAATGGCATGCCATATAAATTGCATTGCCAAATTTATTATTTTTTATCTAGTAAATATTCCTTAGAATTTATTATCACAGACAAATACACTTTGAATGTCACTAGGGTATCACATTCATATGACCATGCAGCTACAAATCCTCTGCAAAGGGTGCTTTCATACATCGCCCATCCTTTTATAACTAGCAAATTCAGATAAATCAAATCTATGCAACAAAATGTTTTTGCCAAATATCGTACACACCAAATGTAAATCATTTACAGTATGCAACAAAATGTTATGAATATGTTCAACATTTTTAAAAACTGAGGGTAGCAACTGACAAACAAGTTAATATTACAGGGTTTTCAACTATCTCCTTTTAAGTCAACTTTTCACAAACTCTATGTTTTTATACTGTAGACATACCTACTTCCACCAGGTTTTATTTTTGTACATTTGCATTTTCTGTTTATCTGAAAATTTGGATTCCTAACATGCTCAATGGGCTCCATTTATAGTAAAGGACACAAGGTAGGAAAGGAACTGTAAAAGATTGAAATTAGATATTTTGACCTTGCACTTGACCTTTGATTTCCAACTTTACCAAGGGTTCTTTCTTTGAGAAAGGTATGTGTTGAATGGGAACAAAAGCAGAAAAACATATATGCTGTGAATAATGATTTCACACAGACCTGCAATGATCTTGACCTTTGACCTACCAAAGTGGTTTAAAATCAATGCAAATCCTTTTCTCAAAGGCACTCTACTGGTGAAGTATGATTTAAACAAACAAACAAACACGATTCACACGGGCCATATCCCCTACCAGAGCACTTTGGCTATAGAAAGGCAAAATGCAGTACATTACTGAAAAGTTTAAATGTAAAAGGGGGGGGGGTATGATTTAAACAAACTTAAATCTATACTACACAAGGATGCTTCTGAATTAATTTGACTAATAATAATGGCTTTGCTGCTCTTGAGAAGAAGATTTTCAAAGATCTTTCCAATTTATTCCTACAAAGTTGCCCCACCTTAAGGTCATGATTTATTATTTTACACAATGTTTAGAAGGTTTCACATGTTTCAACTTTTTTAGGCCCAGTAAATCTTGAGAGGAAGACTCCTAAAGGATACCACAAAATTCTCTATTTCTTATATTATCTCCCCTAGAAAGAAGGACTTGCTCTACATTTGAACAAACTTGAATTCTCTTCACCCAAGGATATTTTGTGTTTGGTTGAAATTGGTCCAGTGGTCCAGAGAAGAATGGTTGAAATTGGTCCAGTGGTCCAGAGAAGATGAAAGTGTTAAAAGTTTACAACAATGCCAAGGACTGACAACTGAAAATTTCAATAAGAAATTTAGCTCACTTGAGCCTCCTTAGTTGCCTAAATATACTTATCACCAATTACTAAGTAATTTGTTTTAACTGTAAACATGAAATAAAATAGCAAGGAATTTTTTTCTCTTAGTCAGAGTGCATGCTAGTTTTGTTGAAAGTGAATAAAGGCCAGTTGGCATAAACAAACAATTATACATGTCCTTGGTTATAGGCCTTGGGCTTTCTGCTTTTTTTTAATCTTCAAACATTTGGTATTTCAGGAACCACAATTCCAAATTCATCTCTGCATTTTCATTTGTTTTCATTGATTACAAAGGTACTTTTTCCCCCTTTTTTTGGCAGTGATTTTTTTAAGTCTATTACATGAAATTTTCACCATTCCCTACAAATACTACCAGTTTTACGATATCTCTTTTTAATGCCTACGCAATGTCGTAATACTAGAATTTCACTTTTTCAGATGGTCCCCAGGGCAATACAATTCCAATCTCAAAGGAAGATTACTTGTCATTTCTCAATTTAGATTAACTTAAGCTTAACACAGAAATAAACTCAGTCATTTCCCCTATATTGGCTGTTATATGATCCTTTTTATTCGGTGTTTTTTAACCAAAACATTCCTATCCATCCATTTTGAGCACTTTTCAATTTCAATAAGCAACCGTTGACCTGAGACAGTCATGAGAGAGAAGAATCGTGATAAAATTAAGCAATGCATGGACATCTTGAAAATAGAGTCTATACGCTTTCACTATAAACACTTCCATTTTCTCCCCTGTGAGTTTGTG